CAGGGAAAACGAACAGGTTTATTTACAAAATCCACGGGCCCCATAAAGAACAGGAAAAACCTGAAAGACTTCGTTCCAACAGGTGTTTATAGAATGCGATGACAGGACCTTAAACTATTGCGAGTACTGCACTGCTTATGAAACTGATTTCTGAAATCAGCGAAAACTTGCAAGGTCGTGCGATAATTAAATTTAAATTCTGCTCTCGTACACTTTTCTCGTTAGTTTCACGTGATTATCGTTATCGAAGGCCAAATCACCTGTGCAGGCTGACCAAAGTACAGTTTTAATGGTCGATGTACTAATAAGAAGAATAACAACCGTATAAGCGTCGGTGTTTTGGTGACTAGGGATTGGCAGTTTTATTGTTGATTGGGAAGTTGTGTCTCCGTTGAGATGGTGAAATGCAAACTCCGTGATTGCATATTGAGGATAGTGGCGTTCACTTGCGGACACCCTAAGTGAGGACGTAGCAGCAGCCTCTGTGGTTGAATTACGTCAGCCTACTCGTTCTGTGCCGTGGAAGCGAAGTCCTACCGTCTTGAGCTCTCTAATCGTTACTGCGCGTCATGCAATGCTTATATGTAGGCGTTAGAACCATCGTTGTGAGGGCCATAGCGCCTTCGTCACTCACTGTGAAACCGCGAAGGTAGAATAGCGGCCAAGGACTAGACTCTTGTACAAAGAAGGACGCCTACGAATTGGTTGAGCGTAGGGACTGCAACCCCACGCTTCCTCCGAATTTGCTTTTGACCAAATGCTCGCTTAAAGACAGCTCCCGCGATAAAAGTGTCATGGATAGTTGCTTTTCAATTATGAAACAGTAGCTGATAAGTAATTCCTCAATGAAGGAAAAAAGCAACAAGAGCCCTCAAGAACACCACAAACAAAATTGCTCCCTTACAGTTACACCGCCCTGCGGTCCGTGGGCAACCCCTGGCTCACAAATCGCTTTATGGCATTTCCCAGTAGTGGACAACATCCATTTCAAAGAAAAGAATATGAAAAACAACAAAAACACGGAAGAAAAACTCTTGAAAAGGAAAAGAAACTTTCAAAACTAGGCGTCTGAATTTAGGGTTACGGTAGCGTGCATCTTTTAGTGTAGTGTAGTGCGTCGAGCTTTTGCACCACGAAAATTGGGTCGCTCGTGATTTTTACGTTTTACCTTGCAAGATGGGAGTTGACTGTATGTGCTCCTAATAAATAAAATGTAATAAAGGAGAGCAGAACCATTCATGGGCACGAGCGCGGTCAGCAAAAAGGGCATGCAATTCCGATTAATGCCCGCCGCCCCAACAAAGAACAACTGAGCGGCTCTCCGTCAGAGGGCATCTAGCAAGTGGGCGGTCCAACTGGGCGGGCGTTAGAACTAGAACTTTCAGCGGCTGTAGCTCGCTCCTCGCTCGCTGTGGAGTCGCGAGAGTGGGATAGTCTCTAGCTTGGGGGCTGTACTACTTGCACAAGGAAGGACGACCATGTACTACTTGAGCGCGGGGGCTGTCTTTAATGTATCTGTAGGTGATGCGTGCGCGTCTTCTCCGTTCTGTGAAAAGTGGATGGGAAATTAACAAATTTGAAAAAGTTATGAAAATTCAAAAT